TCTTTTTTAGACATTTGATACATAACTAAAACAAACTAAGCGGAGTTAGTGCTATGTAAACTTCCAAACTCCGAAACAAATATTTGTAGATCCCGAGACCTCAGCAGAGCAGTCGCATACGTTACCACTTCACCACCGAGGCCACCTAATACAGATACTATACCTATTTAGATATTGTCAGACAGTACCGTCGCGCTCGGTTACCGGCCTAAATAATACGCGTACATTATAACTGCTCACGCAGTATCGCCGCTGCGCCGTCCCGTCCCATGTTTGATCCAGCCGTAAAGTTTCTTTTGTTACTTTTATTGAACTAATATTCGTGGTATTCTTTATCCAAAATTAAATTTAAAAGTATATGTAGAATAGATAAAACAGTTTTGAAAAAGATTTATTTCATAGTACACCACAACCACTTTTTCATCATTTATTTTTCAGCATGAAATCATTTGATGTCACTGTCCCCTATGTAACGTACTTAACCCTGAAATTTCCCCAATATCTAACAATCATGATATTATAATAAAATAATAATATAAAGTGACACATCTTTACATTCAGAAACCGTGTAAAAGTCAGACTGTATCGATTTATGTCCTGACAGCACAATTTATTGGCGGTGACAAGTCGTAGTAACAGAAGTGCTTATTTCATGTGTAATTTTATGCTCCTTATATGTTAAACAAATTAATATAGATACCCGATAATTTAGTTACATTTATAATTATATTGTTAACAGTAATAATAGGGGATAGTAGGCCAAAACCTTCTGTCGAGGGAAAGGCCTATGTCCGGCAGTGAGCTATTAAAAGCTGTTGATGATGATGATGATGATGATGAATGATAGGTTTGGGAAAGTTGATAATGGTTTCACAAAATAAACTACTTTTAAACCAATCGTAAGAAAACTACCAGCTCCTATTTTTAATGGTTTAAAAAAAATGTTGCAAACACACGCATGTTCGGATTTCCTGTTTACAATTGGCTATTATACGAATTAATATGATTTTAGAAACTTCAGAATACGTTATTGTAGTATTTAAATTGTTTTATATGTGCCAGGGTTGTTAGTTATTCGCTTTAATTGTAGAAAAATAAGAGCATAAAATACAATAAATTAGTCCTAATTAATCAATACGGTGATCGATAGGTACGGATACGAAAGTTTCACAAACATATTTAAACCTATATATTTTACCTCATATATTATTTAATATTGAAGGCAAAAGATTGCACGGTCGTGCACCAACAAAGTGCACCGATTAAGTAAACGACTCATCCTTCCCCAATCCTTACAAGAGCGTTGATAGAAACCAGTGGAGAGAGATCATCAGTTCCAGATGTAACCCTGATGCTGACTACGATTCTCAGACATGAGGGACTGACCAGAGAGAGAGCCTATTAATCTACATTTGTAAAATTATTGTATGTGTATTATCTTAATTCAATATGAAAAAATATTTTCAAACCTACGCAGTCTCATATTATAGCACACATCATCATCATCACATCACTGCTGGACATAGGCCTCACACATGGTGGAACCATACTATGTAGTTAGTTTAAATTAGATATAAATTTTTGTACTTCCTTTTAATTTAAAGTCACGACGCGATATACATTTCCATTTAAGTGTAAATATTTTTAGACACATTGTATAAAATATACATGTAATAAACCCTTCGACTTCAAAGGGTATTTGATTCATATCCCCATGATCCGTTCCGTTGTCACCTCCTGTAGCCTATTGTTTACGCATTTGAACTGATCCGTTATTTATGTAGGCTTTGTTCGACACCGTTACTGATACCCGGCGAAAGAAGGGTTAACGGAGTTTCGGTACATCGTGTCGTGATGTAAAGAGATGAATTTAAGATGAGTTTAAGATATGATACATAAACGGTGCTATTGGTGGAGATTTAATTGCTTAATTAAATACATTTATAGTTTATGGATTTTCGTAAGTTTTGCTAAGTTTTCAAAAGAATATAGGGATGTGAAATTTGCAGATTAATTCTTAAAATATTATTACTCGACAACATCATATAAAGGGTATTGTTAGAATTTTTAAAGGTTTTAAAACGTGAACTTAGTAAACGTAGTAATCTTACCCCAGTGAACCCAACGCAAGATATTTTATCTATATCCTAAGGAAAGTGTATCCTGATTTGGCTTCGATTGCAGTTTATTAAATATCTTCTGCAAACATAAACTAAATAAACATATTATTAACATTTGATTTAAACCAGATAAATTTGATGAGAATGGTTCTATTGATTTTTCAGTTTAACAGTCTAGTAAAATTATCTCATATATATCGGATAATTTCTAATGTAATAACGTCTAAATATTCCAACCAATACCAATAATACATAGCAACCTAACACACACGTGTAAAGTATTTACATAAATAAATAAAAGTGAATAAATAATTAATGTTAATGAAACTTTTGTCTTGAACAAATTATTGTAACAATGTATGATAGTTACGTATGAAATAATTACTGTACTCTAAACAATGCATATTTAACATAACATTAACGATACATTATATTTCATTACCGTGACGGAATCTGGTAAATAAATTTTATATATTTACCATCCTCATGTACAATAGAACAGTAAAATTAAAAAATATATATAACATATAAAAGCGGTTTCTTTATCAAAAATAAGCACCATTTGCATTATAAGTTCTATAACACATATACACACAATTTTTTTTATAAAAAAATGTTAAGTTGGTTTGTGTACACTTCAAAAACTCAAAAAGTACTGCACCGATTAAGCTTGACACGATATCAAACCACTTCAAAGATTGTTTTTATCTATGTGTTTTCCGTGGCTGTTTTGTTAATTATTACTCAACAATGCAACCGCAAAGTGCCACAGCAAACAGATGCAGGGTACAGCTAGTTATACATAAAAACAGTAACGCACTAACCGCCTCTATTTTTTGCTAACGGTGTGAAAAAGCCTCGTGGATGTCCTAACACCATTGGGGGGTGGCGAAGGGGTCTGTCGGACTCTTACCGACTAAAAACTACCCCAATGTTATTCTCCTTGCCGATGGGCAGGTAAGCGAGAATCGCAATTGCATTCTTCTGCCAACCCAGCCGCCTCTCATTTTGTCCACCCTAGCAGATTCATCACAAACTTGCAGTTATATATATAACTGCAAATTATTTATGTATGTATGTAACTTAGTAAGTTAACATGTATGTATATTTGTCCCATTGTTTCGGTCCACCTTCTCAAATATATATTTTGTAATTAATATTTAGTGCATCTAGTCACACATTTCCTAAGGGTAGACTGGGAGAAAATACCAGTGGTATTTTCTCTCAGTCTACCAAAATGTCTGTCAAATGAAAATACCAGTGGCATTAAGAGCGTCATTGTACAATTCTATGAATTAAAATAAAATCTTCCTAATATTTGGATAGAGCGGCATTTGAATCCGCTATGCCTCATATTGTAGTATCACTCAAATAGGATGTAGACATACTTATAGACACACCAAAGACAAATTTATCTAAGGCTTGGTTTTCCTTTTTCGTGCGTACCTACATGGTTATTTTTTTATTTTTTTTTTTTGTTGAAATGCTCGGTTTCGCAATAGCCAATTCAAGTTGCAGGTATGCGCCCTGACCGGATATTGATGCACGAGCAATTGCTAACATTCCCCAATCCCATTCCCTTTGGAATAATTGCCTTCCCTTCTTATCCACCTTTCCTTTTAATATGCTCCCGATCTAATCGCACATTTGGGACTTAAATTATAAAATCATGACAAAATAGGCCTTTGTTACGCGTCTGCTCACGTCTTTGGGAATAGGTATAAACGTGAGTAAATGTACCTACCTAAGATTTCTGTTTCAATGTCTGCCTATGTTACTCTAAAAAAACGGTTTAGTGGTTCAGGCGTGAAAGCATAGCAAACAAACAAACTCATTCACATTTTATAATATCGAAGTATAAAAGTAGGTACGGATTATTAAGGTGTAACAGAAATACCATTATCCCTAGTAAATAAATTTATTCTCCCCGTAATAAACACCATTGCAATATTAATAACTATTTTATTGTATCTAATTAGGTACAACAAAAATAATACAATTAATAATTAAATGGTACGCACAGGAAAATGTGATTACAATAGTAATTATTGAAAAATATATAGGTTTCGTTATCATTATATTTAATTAATAAACGATGTTTTCCTGGTTATTAATTTAAGTTAATAAGGAATTTCCGAATTTTGTTTTGTTCGTAAATTGATAAGAATTTTATTAACTTCACTTTGGGGTCATTTTTTATTATTTTTGATATATTATTATGATTACATTAGCTATAAACTAATTAATGCGCAATTGCGTTACTAATTAATTTATAGCTAATTTATAGCTAATGTAATTATAAAATTCGAAGGCTAATTAAAAAAAATATATCAGATTATTCACTAGAGCACATTTAATTATTATATAGACACCGAATTACTATTAATATTGAAATGTAAGGCAAATAGCTTTATTATTTGTGTCTCGGTACACTTTTAATATAAACATAATATAAATAAGTACACAATCCGTGGGTTTGTTTATTTTTTATAAATTATATGTACCTGAGCTAATGTTAGCTACTTAAAAATAAATTTGAGTTATAGACTTTTGGTGACTTCCGTAAGATATTTAATTTTTGGTTAATTTTAAAAAAATATCAAAAACCTGTCCATAAACAAAACTTTTAGCGGAAAAGTCATAATATTCAAAACAATGACAAGGTACTACATTATGAAACATCATTGGATGTTAATATTTTATATTAAATAAATTAAAATATATTTTAACCAAGGTAATCAACAAAACTACATACAAACTACACTACCCTGAAGCGTAGAAATCCAATTTACAAAACACAATATTGCAATGAATTAAAAACATATATAAATAGAGGTACTATGCACAACTAGAGTAATATACTTGGATTAAAAAACTAACCTGTAATGCCAACGGAGAAATGTGACGGGAACAGAGGACCGAAAGATGGCACGACAGGGGACGGTCCAGGCCAGGCCAGTCCATACGCCGCCGCCGCCAACGCCGCGCCGAACGTCGGCGTCGGCCGCACCAGCCTCGATTTCAAAGTGGGTCTTTCTTCGTCCTCACTATGAACGTCATGAGGGAGATCCTCAACGTCTACTATACTGTTCTGGTCGAATCTCTGATTGATATCTTCATATTCATCGTCCGATGAAGCCACATTCGCAGATGCGTTTAAATTTAAAGGTGGAGTTTGCGATGACGGTCTCGGTGACATCGATGTGTCTCCAGGTAGTTCCGGTTGCGCGGCAGGAGACTGCCTTAAAGGAGATTCAGGTCTCGTCCGATGGTATCTAATGCTGTCAGCGATTTCGTCCACCTGGTTTGTTTTGGTGTCCGCCAATATTGACGCAACGCTAAAGCTGATCCGTGAGGTTTTCGGTGGCTCAGTCGCCTCCGCGGGGCTGCTGGGGTATCTCGACACACTCTGTATCGCCATATTCACTTCCTTGTCCTCGTAGTTGGGTTTCTTTAACATTGAACGCTGGTAAGTTCCATTTAGCACAGTTGGTAGACCGTTCACTGGGCGCGATCAACGGATCGTGTACGCATGCGGGCGCAGTCGGAGGTTGACTGGCGGAGCGCCGCGCGGCGGAGACCTCGCCGCGGGCCGAGGCGTGGCGCTGGGGCGCTCCGCCCAGCCCGGAGCCTCCTGCTCCTCCAATCGACCGCTGCGAAACGATTGATCCGCGCGGGGACGAGGGGAGCGATTTAGCACACTCTTATCTCGTTAGCTGCCTTTGTGAAACTCGATTTTTTTTGTACGAATCAAAACATAATTACCTTTTGTAGGGGTTCGCGCGTTTTGATCGCGCTCTTTATGCCCGCCACCAGAGGTATAAAGTATAAAAATATAATGAGCACTCGTGAATGCCGCTTGTTAAATCCTTTGAGTCGTCTCTTGGTCCCTTTGTGAGATTAGCGCCGAGGGCCCGTTTGATCAATTCTGCTGCTCCGTGTTTACGGATCCGTTTCAAATTAGCACAAATGATTTACAACGACACTGCTCGCTGTTATTTACATTGTGATTTATATTGCCCTTATTGTAAATATCTTAACATTACATGTGAATTTTTGTTTAATATTATTAAATTATGTTGTTCAATTAAAATACATTTTGCAAATTAGAGATTACGGTGATTAAACTTTCACTATTAAAAGTTCTGTTTTTTTTTTCAATCACTATCAATATAAACTATCTCTGTCACAAATACAATTTTACCAAGATTTTCAGGTAGGATTTGATCAACTCACAAAAACTTATCTAAATTAAAATCTTATCGAAAATATCCTAAAAGTAAGTATATTAAATGTGAAACGAAAATAAAATTCCTTTTAATACCTACATTTGTAATAGGTATACGATTATGAATTATGTTTAAAATTATTATATACCTAGGTTCCTAATAATCGAATATTTATTTATATTTCTGCAAGCCTATTGCCATTTACCGGAAACACCGAAAACATAGCTATTTTCGTATAAAAATGTCCTTGTTTAAGTCTTTTAAACAAATAAAAAATATTTTTTTAATAAATAATTAATATTTTTACAATAAATACTTAATAGCCATAAGCGTTAAAAAAATCCAATCAAAACCAAACAAGGATTATCCAAAAATAAGTAGAATGCATCTCTACAGGCGGTTAAATGCCCTATAGAGGGACAATTTTACCCACCCTACGTCATACGCGAGTGTGAAACGGGACGATATCTATTACATCTACCATCTCTTTCACACTTATAAAAAACGATATCTCTTGTCCACTCTAACAGGATACTCCGTACTAAATAGGTATTTAGTATTCGGAAGGGAAGATGGTTAATTATGTGGGGTGAACGGGAAAAAATCTATTGCAACTCCGATGGAAGAATTTAAGTTTTATTGTAGTTACGTAAGGTTTAATTTAGTTTGATTGTTATTGACGATGGTTTATATGAATTCTCCGAGGGTTGTCTCAAAGTTTCTTATTGATTGTGTGCGATATTAATATAAATGTAATTAATTATGATTGACTTCATTGATTTTGGTTTAGTGAGGTGTGATTTTGTTGTTGATCTAAGTATCTATTTTATAACACCAAATTGTGATAGTTTATTTCTGTCTAGTGTTGATTTTATGATTGTTTATTTAAGAAAACCTAAAAATACTTATATTTATCACCTACGTTTCATGAGTTCTTGTATTGATGTGCTAATTTCATATTCTGTCGAGGCTGTCATGTATTGGTATTATATAAGACAACAGCTTAACGTGATTTAAGACTATGATCAATAGTTTACAACCACAAATAATCATTTTTACACTGGTAATATTTATTTCCGTAAAGGAAGATACCTACAAAGGATAAAATGTGGTAAAATTTTGTAGTAGTTGGTAACACTGAAAGTAAAACGGTCGAAAAGCCGATTTTTAACGAAAGCTCGTCCACCACCTAACCTAGAAACTAATAGAGACAAATAATTGGCGGGTCTGTTCGTCAAGTGGTTAGTGGCTCTGACAGCTAAGCCGGAGGTCGTGGGATCGATTCCCATATTCCCCGATAAATATTGTGTGATGAGCACGGTCATTTGTTCTGTGTCTGGGTGTAATTTATCTATAATATGTATGTATTTAAAAATATATTAGTATATTTATCAGCAGTCTGGTTACTATAGCACAGGCTCTGCCTAGTTTGGGCTCAGACGGCCGTGTGTGAGGTATATTATTATTATTAATATACACCAAGTGTAGGTAGACTACTTATCAGGGCCGTCTCTAGCACATTGGAGGCTACCTGATAACTGAGCACTATTCTGTTAGAATATACAAATTGTAGTTAGCCATTATCGCAGGATTTTATTTAAAACTAGCTGACCCGGCAAACGTTGTATTGCAAAACAAAAAAAATTAGGGATGGGTCACCCTTACCATTTAGGGGTATGAAAAATAGATGTTGGCCGATTCTCAGACCTACCCGATGTGCACACAAAATTTCATGAGAATCGGTCAAGCCGTTTCGGAGGAGTACGGGAACGAACATTGTGACACGAGAATTTTATATTTAGGATAAATATAGATTGGTGATCTGACAGGAATTGTGGAGCCCTTTGGGGGCCCCCTAGGGCTCCACTGGCACGTGCTCAGAGTAGCCAGTGGGAAAGGTGGCTGCCACCCATACCTATACATACCGAGTCACATTATTTAAGGTTATTCTATCTCTTTAGCAACCACCTGGGTTTCTCTCTCTATCTAACTCTCTATTTCTCTGTTAATTGTACCTGTATAATTATACGAGTAGGTTTAGGTACTAATTTTAATTCAGCATTGTTTCCTTGTTAAAAACTAACATTTGTCCCAGTGAGGCGGTATGTAAACTCAGTAGGCATATAGCATTCATAAGAAAAGGATTAGTGACTCACGAGTTAGCCATTTTCCTTTTTGGTAGTCACATCTACCTCAATAATTACAAATATCCATGTACCATGTACAGAGACACCATGTATCATGTGAGATTTCGTGTATTGACTGTAGGTAAACTTTGTAGTTTATTTGTCATCATCATCATCATCATCATCAACAGCCTTTACTAGTCCACTGCTGGACATAGGCCTCTCCTTAGAAAGGAGGTTTTGGCCTACTATACCACGCTAGCCAGACGGGTTGGTATAGGGTTCGTGTCAAGTTTTCCTTCTCTCTGCAGTGCTGTTGTCCTGCGTAGTTTGCTCCCTTAGTCGCCTTTTACGACACCCACGGGATGAATAGGGGTGGTGACACTCCGTATTCTTAATCCGTCACCACACGGACGTTTATTTGTGATTCATCTTAACTACACCTACCGACCTATACTCGTTTAACTTAACTTATAATATTTAAATTAGTTCCTAAACTGTTCCTGGAGTTTTTGCTAATTGTTGACAATATTTTCCAGAAACACCAAATAGTCAAGCATCTAATTAAATTCGAAAATTTAGAAGTTCTTGCTAATGTATGTCAAGAAACAACAAATGATGTGGCATTCTGAACACCAACGACAATATGGCGCCCGAACCATGCAAATATTTCACAAGAAAATAACAAAAAAAAAGAAATATTTGTACAACGACAGAGGACTCCGGAATGTTAGGAATTCGTGGTTATGATTTAGATCGTACAAAATGTAAATAAAAACTAAAATGAATGACTCTCAAGATGTTTGATGTCTCCTCTGAATTTAATGGTTTTACAGAACTGTTAATAACTTCTGAACTGTTCTCAGTAGTTGAGAATCTCGTAATGATGTAAGAATATCATTCCAACCTTACTAATGTATATCGAAAATCTTAATTCTATTGCTTTAATACACAATGTAATAATGTTATCTCTTGTAGTAAAAGTAGGTAGGTAACTTAAAAAAAAACACAATTGAAACCTAGCTGTTACGAAAAAAAAAAACAATATAACGATAAATTTAATTTTATTTCGAAAAAAAATCGCAAAAGAACAACCAAAGGTTCTTTGATATAACTAAGAATATCTAAATTTCCGTTCTGGAGGATATATTTATTTTTGCGAAAACTTCAGAGTATTGATAGAGTCTTATAAGTATATCATTCACCTTTGTGAATAAAACCCAATAGCTGTATTAGAATACTTTGTTTGATAACATTTGACTCAAAGTCAGAATATTACTATAAAATAGATTCTTCTATCTAAACTGAGTTGTTCGATTCTCAATTGTATCGAATACATCTCGTGTGCGGAGAACCTCAGTGGATCAATACATAGAAGTGCCGTGCCGAGCGTTGTGTCACAGCTCCGGTTGTAATTGTAATATTATATTTCTGATATTCCAAACAAGGTAACTGATGTGCAATATAAGATTTTAGCCTCAAATTAAATAAGTAAAAAATACTTAACGACTTATATTTTTTGTTAGGTGCCTACAGATCCTCTGTCTTATGGTCCACTGTTTAGGAATTATTATTTAGTGTTCACATGTAATCTATACTAATATTATAAAGCTGAAGAGTTTGTTTGTTTGTTTATTTGTTTGTTTGTTTGTTTGAACGCGCTAATCTCAGGAACTACTGGTCCGATTTGAAAAATTCTTTCAGTGTTAGATAGCCCATTTATCGAGAAATGCTATAGGCTATATATCATCACGCTAAGACCAATAGGAGCGGAGCACCAATGAAGAATGTTTCAAAAACGGAGAAAATTAATTACTATTGAGAGACGCAGACGAAGTTGCGCGGGTCAGCTAGTGATACATAAATATGCTGACATCATATTCATTGAAGTCGTGGGTTCGATTCCCACCCAGGAGAAATAATTGTGTGATGAGCACGGTCATTTGTTCTGTGTATGGGTGTACTTTATCTATAATATGTGTGTATTTAGAAATTTATAACTATGTTTATCAGCGTCTGGTTACCATAATACAGGCTTTGCCTAGTTTGGGATAAGGCCGCCGTGT